GGGTGGGGGGCTGACTGGCGACTGACAGCGGATGTGGCGACCAGTCACGCTGGACACGCAATTCGAATTCAAATATGTTCTCTTGTCACATGAGCTCAATTAGCCTAATTGATTATCGTGACGCTCCTCGGTCAGCTGTTGTTTTTTTTTTCTCGCAGTTTCGCCATTTCAATTTTTTTTTATCTTCGCGTATCAATCTCCTTATCCGTGGATTCAGAGCTGCAGTAACGGGTATCAGGCAGCTTTTGCATCGGATCGAGACATTGGTGACGTAATTTCAAGTCCAATTAACTCGGGAGTACCTAGAGAGTCGACTGCGGTTCGACTGTGGGTTTCGTTTCGAAGTTGTCAGGTTACCGAAAGTACTCCGCTCGATCGTTCCACGCGCTTCTTCCATACTTTCGCGTCTCCCGAGAAAATCAATGGGCGACATTTCCAATACAGAATAATTCGCATCCGTCGATCTCGTGTTTGTAGGGCACAGCGAGGAACGACCGATATGCTCCGCGATGCAGTAACGGCCTGCGATAAGCTCGGGCTGATCGTAAGCGGGGAAGCGAAGCCCGTGATTTCTAGGTCATAGGTCATATATATATATATATCTGTCTACGCTAAGATTGCGTAACACGTGCCAAGTAGTGTGGCTGTAGGTAATATGGGAGGAGCGACGGGGAAGCGACACGTATACGTGGTTTGAACGTGAAGGAGCAGTGGGGAGGGAGAAGGGAGAAGGGTGGGGGACGTGTGTGTCAGAAAGATAAGAAAAAAATGAGAAACGAGTAAAATTTACATATACGCGTACCAGCGCGAAGTCTACAAGAAGCTGGTAGCGACTCCGATGGCCGCTGGCGATTCCTGCGAATGCGCGAGCTTTCGTGGCGCAGATATTTCCCAAAGTTCCGTTCGACGTCCAATGATCCGCGACGTGAGTACTGGGATTGCGTCACAGCTACGAGCCGTGGCCGCACATTAAATCCCGAGCCGATAGGAAATGGGCCGGGCACGGTTGGCCGTCCTGCGACGCGTCTCGCCTCTGGTGGTTCGATCGAGCGTGCAGGCGCAAGGTCGACGGAAGATTCTACTTTGCTTAGCTTTATTGTTCCGCACTTTGTCCCGCCTCGTGTCTTCCTTCCGCTTCCTTTGGCCGGGCAGCCGGCAGCCGACGTAGAAAGGAGGCGAGGAGCCGTCATCAGGATTACGGAGCAGCGGAAGAGTTTGACCCATTACTGACTCTCTGACCTGGTTTCGCGCTACTGCACGTTGAACCGAGTCTGCTGCGGCCCGACGTCGGACGTCGTGCCGGGGACGCCCATGGCCGACCGGAAACGACGCCATTGGGCACTTCGCCGTTCGCGCGTTATCGGAGTCCCCAGAAACAGGGCAGGTCGCTCGGAAAAGCCGCCTGCACTTTCCTCCAACAAAGGCAGGTACCTTCCTTCGCAAACGTCACTCGGGTCTGTCGCAAACGTAAATAAGCATTTAACCAAATGATCAGGCGGGCTGAGTGCTTTCCTCTCGATTCTTGGGGATGCTCGATCTGGAGGGTTTTCGATTTCGCCTGTTAACTTAACGAGAGCAGAGGAAGCTGCGAAAAGACGCGGTACGGCGGGAAGATTGAGCAACGGGGAGGCCGAGAAGCCCCGGAGCGCCGCCCTACGCCTCCCTACATTATTCAAACTCAGCCCCGGAGAATCTCAGGGTGAATTTTTGAGGGGCCAACGCGAGGTTGCCCGGAGCCAGCGGAGCTTCCTCTGTTTTCACGTGTCCCTTTTCCGTTCCGTGCGTGCCTTGTGCCCCCTAACCCCCCCTGCATCCCTTCGCTCTTAAATCATTTACGCCACCCCCCCCCCC